TCAGATCCTAAAAACTCAATCAACTAACAACAATACCAACACAACACAAAGATTACCTTGGATCACTTATCCTTTTATGGATAAGCTACATCCACGTTGAGCTCAGGAATGGTATGAGCTCGCTGCACTTACTATTACCAAGAAGAATTAAGATTACAATAGATCAAACAATCACCCAAAACCCAGTACAATGTAAACTGCAATCAGCCTAACGAGATACTCACTGAGAATCCCTAACCTGAGAGAACAACACCCTCACCCGAATGATTAATCTCCCTAACCACTTGAACCTGATTACACAAACAACAGCAAGAACTCACAAACCCTAACTGAAAAATCGCACAAAGGAAAAACCTAATAGTGTTACGCGTTTCTGTGTAAAAGTGAGTTTATATATGGTTGAGTAAGAGACTAATTCTGGCCATTAGACCTAGAGAGCATCCTGCGGTCTAAATTTATTTGGTTACTTTGTCTAAAACGACGTCGTACTTCTTTACCCAAAACGACGTTGTTTCAGGCTTCCATTTTAACACAAGGTATATAACATGTATAAAGAAGATCACTTTGTATAGATCAACTCCATGCTTCAACTGAATCATACTATAAATTTAATTAATTAAACCTAAAACTAGATTAGACTTAGATACTTTGAACTAATTTGCTTGGTCACTGTTCCAAGAACAACTTCCATCTTAAGTTGAGGCTGACCGCTGACAAAGTTTGAGCAGAGGTTCTGAAATTGCTTACTGAATTGGCACTCATTAATTGCATACGTGGACGCAAAACATGTGGATGCATAAGCATAACAATGCCCCATGTACCACCATGTCCACGTGTCAACCATTAACCATCAATGGACGTGTCTGACGTTAAACACATGTGTAACTATCAACCAGTTATCACACAACATGTGGCCCCTGAAGACAATGACACTAACGTGCTCTTAAAATTCTTTAGTTATGTCATTTTGGAAACCACTTTTTGGTTTCGTAAAGGCTAAAGATACTATACAAAACATCTTCATCAATTTACTGAAATGCTTTATTTGTTTGATACATGACACTCCAACATCAAAAAGAGACTTGGTTTACGAAAGATTCAACAAATTAATTTCACAAAATAAGACACAGAAGATCAAATAATAATTGGGAGGCACCAAATTAACGTTTTTGGTATGCTACAACGCCAAAAACCTAATAAAAGGTCTGTAAGAAGGCGAGTTTTAAAAGATTATGAGAAACAATGGCCCATGGGGTGCCAAAGTAGTTGTGCATATAAAAATACGCCATCTGGGCCAAAATCTTTGTTGATGACTTTTCACTTCCTTGCAAATTTTATAGTACTTCTTGAAATACTTATCCACATAGAGCTTGTTGAAAAATCGAGTTGCGTCCTTTGAATTCAACCAGTTATCTAGAATACTATTATCGCAAAGTATCTCCACGTCTTTCTTGAGGTTATCCATGAGTTTGGCATAAGAAGTGACTATTGGAGGGTAATTTGGGCAGCATTGCTCATAAGAAACCGAAAGGTTTAGTTAATTAACAATGACAACCCACAGGTTCGGAAAAGGTAAATATAATACCCCACTAAAGTCGACGGGCTATGTACTAAAATCTGTCGTCTAAATCTGAACCAAATCTTAGTTCAAAGATTAAACTTAATATTCAGTGTTTCCCAAGATTTAGGTGATTTTTGGACTTTGCATTGTATTGTATCTTCTGTGTTGCTGCTCTTTCTTGCTTCTCTTTTTTGACTTGAAAGCGTAAGTGTTCTTTCTTTTAAACATGTGGGATGCGACATTATGTCGTCAAACTTGAGGTGTACTATCAACTAATTTTCTCCATAAAGTTGTTGAATTGTGTTACATGAGATACATATTTGGACCCTTTAATTCTAAAGTATAAAAAAGAAAAGAAAAAAGCAAATTCAAACCAGAATTTGTACTTAACTTGTAACACTAAAAACTGATTAATTATCCAATTTGAGTGGCATTTGACAGAGAGATATGGCCATGCTGGGCATAATGTAAAGAATTCGCTTTTGTTGTAATTGGTTAGCATTAGGATTATAAGCTTTTACTTTTGGAATATGGTACAAACAACAGCTCCAGTTGGGTTACTTTATGGATCCACAAGCGTCCCGAAAGGTAGATTATGTCAATTGATATATGTAATTTTACGTAATCAAATCATCTTAAATTAACAAAATGTATAATAAAGTATAGCTAATCGTAATTGTTTATTGCCTATTGGGGCTTCGGCTCATCATCCCATCAAAGAAAGATTTTCTTGATGGATCAAATGTAATATTGTAACAAGTTTCATTTAGGCAATATCGATAGCAGACCATGTGCTATGCTCAGCCTCGCCTAAATTGATCACTATCTCCTTTCTGTCATACAATTGCAGTGATTTGCCGATCAAGTTACTTTTCTCGAAGCCGACTTTATAATTTTGGTTCAGCACCGTGTAATTTTAACAAATCAATTACCCTTTCTAGTATTGTTACATTTAATTTGAAAACAATTGTTTACACATAAAACTCACCAACTGTCAGCTCTGAAATGGCTTCGTTTAATATTATATGGGATTTCACAAAATAATTTAACAAGACTATGCTATACTTTCACCAAAAACTGAAATGCTAAATTTCATGGTTGAATAGTTCATTTAAAAAAATAAAAAAAGGTTTTACAAAGGGTTGAACACACGAGAATAGGGAAATTTTTATTGACCTCCTCTCCAGCCTGTTTAATTACATGCTATAACCAAAAGACCAATGGTATTCACCAAAAGCTCAAGCCTTAACAACACCAAGAATGGAATACAAGACCTGTAAGAAAGCAAGAATCAAAAGGATTGCACAAACTACTTGTGAAACTATATGTTCAAGTTAGTGATATTTTGCTGGAAAATGAAGAAAAGTCAGTTGGGCGAATATGTAACTTTTTGGCGCCAAGTTTAAAAAACTGCTGTGCTGAAAGCAATTGGTGGAGCTGCTGTTTTTTGAAATGTTTATGTGACAGTTTTAGGTGAAAGTAACCGGTGATTAAGGCTCATTTAATGTAATGTATTTGCATTAGTTAAGCTTGAATGGTTAGGATTGTGTTTGTAAAAATATCCACTGCAAAATAGGTATAACAGTGGATAATTTATATAAAAAACTTTCCCGGCTGTGTAAATGAAATGATAATTAAAAAAAACTTCAGTAATAACCTTCTCTCTATAGTCTCTTTCTTCCTTAGTATTCTCCGGCAAATACCAATACCAGAGCACATCATGATTTTCTAGGACCTGAAAACAAAATTTCTTAGCAAAACTCAACACTGCCGGTAATTGCGTGTTTTGTGCTTGGCGCGATCGCCCATCTCGGGCCGATTTACGACCTCCACAATCCAACCTTCCGCCACCCTAAGCTTCACCGGCTTCCCCTCTACAAAACCCATCACCGCCGGTACCACCTAAGGTTTTTGTGAGATAATTTCGATTGGGATTTTGATTGGCGTAATTTTGGAGTTGTTTAGACATAATTGATTGTCGTTTTGGTGTTTGGGTTTGCTGTTGACTGATTATAAGATTTCCCCGCCGCCGATGACCAAAAATTTTCTGGTTTTGAAAACGCCCACCACCTGTTTGCTTTTTTGCCCCCAACCAGCTCCTTGCGTGCTGCCCCCCACTTGTGCGCGATTTCTGCACGCCTCCTACCTGGCTGGAAGCGATTTCGGCCAAATAAGATATGGGTTCTAGGAGATTCAAAGAGAAAAAGGGCATTTTCTTCTTTACAGTTCATGTACCATGTCATGTAACGGATCTTAACGGTGGGTGGGAAACAGTCGTTTTGAAAATTTTCGGGTAGGACATTCTCTTTAGGGCAAACTTCGGGTTGGGAAGATGTCATTGGACATTATACTGATTAAGCTCTCCGACTTAAGAACCCCTAGCTAGCCCCTGCTCTCCAAATTCAAAAGAGAATTTATACTTGCAAAACTGAAGACCGATCAATTATAAAATTTGACTGGGCATTTGACGGAGATATGGTCATGCTGTGCATAATGCAAAGGTTAAACTTTCGTTGTCATTGGCTATTAAGGATTATAGGCTGTTACTATTGCAATGGTACAAGGAACAGCTCCACCTTGGTTACTTTCATGGCTCCACAACAAAAGTTATAATAAGTAATTTTAAAGTTAAACAAGTTTCCGGACATATATCTAGAATTTATACATGGAAAGACCTGTTCAAAGTTAGGTGATTCGGCAACTTCAGCAGCATCATTAAGAAGCTAAGTTAATAACTAATCCATTCTTAATTTTCATATAAAAAGATTTTCTCCTTCAATATGTCATGAGGTTGAATAATCTTTTAACATTAATAGTAACTATCACATGAATACACGGCTGAGATAAAAAAAATATTAATCAACCAAATGTATAATAAGTTATAGCTATTCATAATTGTTTTATCTGTCCGTGTAGACCGTAGTTATAACTTATTGGGCTGACTGTATAGCTCCTTTGGACTTGTTGACCATGCGAGTTGGCGTAGTAGATGTTGCATATACTTCACTTTTGATTTGGGAAATGACTTTTAGCTCTTACTTCTCATTTCATTAGTTTCCAATTAAATATATACTTTTGTTTTTGACAAATTTAATCTTACATATGAATAAAAACTATAAATTCTAAAAGAAAACAAATTATAATAAATCTTCATACAATTACCAATTTCTTCATCCCACTTGACCAATATCAACCTAAAAAACATTTTAATACGGAGATCTTCACCCTACTTCATCAAAAAAGCATCTTAATGCTGAGCTCATTAGGCAAAACATTTTAATCCAGATCAAATTTCACACCAAATAAGTTACAAAACACTTTCCTCAAAAACAGACAGGCCCTTGCAGCAAACAAACACAAATAAACTGATAAGCATTCATTTGTCAATTTCTTCATCGAACTCCTAGCAAATTAATGGTCGTCACGAAGCACTCAAGCATTAACTCTTTTTATCTTCCATGACACCCGGAATGGAATACAAAGTCTGCAAGAATTCGAGAATAAGAAAGATTGCAGCAACTACTTGTGAAACCGTAGCCCAGGGGGTGGTGAAGGTGTTTAAATACATAAAGCGCCGCCTCGGCCACCAGCGGTTACGGTGTCTCGTCACTTTAAGGCAAATGTCAAGATAAAAGAATTGCCCCGCATATGCACCATGGTATAGCTTCTTGAAGAATTGCTTTGCATCCTCAGGATACAACCAGTTATCAATAATCTCGTGCTCGCTAAGTATCTCAACATCTTTCTCGGTGTCAATGAGATTACCCATGAACATCACATAAGAAGTGACTATGGGTAGATAACTTGCATAAGATTGCTCAAAGCTGATGAGGTTTCGGAGGATTGTTTCGGTTGTCTCTTGAATCAGCAGAGGTGGAATCATGAGAACACCATTTGCAAAGTTTATATCCAAGATGCTATCGGCATATGCTTTCTTAAACTTGATACCGGCCTCGTTCATCTTTGTAGCACAAGGGATGGGTTCCCATCCCGTGGGTTCTCCTTTGAACTTATCTGGTGATAATGGTAAAAGCAATGAATGCCTCAACAAGTCAAGGATATGTTTGATCTCGATATCTTGGAGTTGGTGTGGTGCAACAGATGATTCTCTGGATGAGAATATATTACTGAAGAATTTAAGGGCAAGTTCGATTAGGGATTCGTCGGGAGAAAGTTTGGTCAAGCTAAACAAACGCTCAAGCACCATCCAAGGAATTTGGTTTTCAAGCAAAATCAGGTCATGGTTTAAATATTCTTGTAAACAAGACATGGTGAATATGGGGTCATCTGGATCTCTAAGTTCTTTTTTGGCATCTTTGCGGAACAACTCACTAATGAAGCAACCGTCAAGTACCAAAATCTCTACAAATGCTTCCTCAACACAGCTTTCAAGTGGCCCTGCATAGCAGCCCCGCGCCTCTCGCTGAATCGATCTGATGGTTTCTGTGAGCTGACTATATAGCTCCTCTGGATTGTTTGATCGTGAGAGGAGGTCTCGCAAATACTTCAATTTTATTTTTTGTGTGGCTTGGAGTTCTTTGTTAGCTCTGTAGTAGAATGGCCCAATCGAGAATGCATTTGGCTTATATGCTGCTTCGTTGTGCCTGAAAAGAATTTTCGGGGTTTGAAAGATGGAAAACGTAGATGACATGGACAACTCATATGCCAGCAAGTGTTCATAGGAACTTGGGAATGGACTCATGACCATGTTAATCACAGTTTCATCTTTTTGACTCTCTGACGCCATAACAATATTCTCAGTGGCTTGCCTCTTTGAATTTTATCTCTGCAAATATGTATAAGATAGATTATTGACAAGTGAGAAAATGGAAAATGAAGAAAAGAAAGCACAGAGGGACCAGTTGTTTAACTAATGATTGAGAACAATGTTCATTCATATAAGTTGTATAAAAGTATTTATAACATAATGCCAAATGAAAGTAACGAGATTCTAATTTAAAATCCATAAAACATAAGTTAACAATTTGCTTTATTTTAAATTAATTATATACAAAAAGAATGAACTGTTGAAACCACATACCAGTTCCAAATGCAACTACTTGCAGACTCGATCACTCTTTTGATTTCTAATTCCAATCATTGACAATCCTTCCCGCCTGGATCACCTGCAACAAATAAAGTTTTACAGAAAACAATCAGAAATTGCAGTGCACTAGCTACAGTATTTATGAACCTTTATTGTGGCAACACGTTTAAATAAAGATTTGAGACTAAAATTTGTACCTTTATCTCCCTTGAGGATATGCAAAACATTCAACAACCTCTGCTAGCAGATAGGCTATTAATAGGAAGAGTTTATTAAGATAAAGTGGATCCTAGAGATAGATTTCATTCTTCGCTTGTGTCAGTCGAAAGATTAATTCCAATACGAGAGTCCCAATATTGTTCGTTTCTTTATTCCAAAGGTACAGATTGCGTTGGCAAACATCACTTTGTATAGATCAACTCCATGCTTCAGCTGAAACATACTAATAAATTTAATTAATTAAACCTAAAACTAGATTAGACTTAGATACTTTGAAGTTTGAACTTTGCTTGGTCACTGTTCCAAGAACAACTTCCATCTCAAGTTGAGGCTGACAAAGTTTGAGCAGAGGTTCTGAAATTGCTTGCTGAATTGGCCCTCGTTTATTGTATACGTGGACGCAACACATGTAGACGCATAACAATGCCCCATGTACCCTTTGTCCACGTGTCAACCATTAAACCATCAATGGACGTGTCCGACGTGTGTAACTATCAACCAGTTATCGCACAACATGTGGCTCCTGAATACAATGACACTAATGTGCTTTTAAATTTTAAATTCTAGCCCACGTCATTTTGGAAACCACTCTTTGGTTTCTTAAAAGGCTAAAGATACTATACAAAACATCTTCATTAATTTACCGAAATGCTTTATATGTTCGATGCAGGACACTCCAACATCGAAAAGAGACTTGGTTTACGAAAGATTCAACAAATTAATTTTACAAAATAAGACACAGAAGATCAAATAATAATTGGGAGGCACCAAATTAACATTTTTGGTCTGCTACAACACCAAAAATATAATAAAAGGTCTGTATTAGTATAAGGGTGTTATGTGGTTGTATAGGTAGCTTTAGTATTCCAATTTAAGGGGGAATATTGAGCATAGTGTAATGTAATGCACAGGGTTAAGTTTGTAACTTTTAGAAGTATGAAAGGGTTGTGTTTGTAAAGGTTAAAAAAATAGTGTAGAAACAGTGATGTTTTGTTTTTGTATAATATAACATGAATAAGTCTAGCCTTACAAAAACTTATACAAAGAAGCCTACAAAGTGAAGAAAAAAACAAAGAAAAAATGGAAAAAGAGAAAGAGAGAGAGAGAAATCATGAAGATCAAGGGTGGAGATTATCTTTGTATGCTTCCTTTGTATTTGTCTTTGTAAGACTAGCACTTCTCTATAACAGATTATCTGTTATATAAACCATCCTTCTGGTATTTTTGTAACTAACTTTACAATAATACACATTTTTCAGCTAAGCTTTAGCTCATTTTTCTCTCAATTTCACTTATGTTTCTTTTGGAGTTTTCTTGATTCTTTGCTAAAACCTTCATGGTATCAGAGCTATAGACAAGCATCAATGGCTCAATCGAATCCTGAATTTTCTAATCTCACTTCAAAACCAGAGATCGAACAAACTTGTGCTGGAAATGGAACCAATTCTAGTGTCTAGTCGTCACTTCCTACGATTTTTGTAAAACTTGGAGAGAAGAATTACGGCCACTGGCATTCACAAATTCTTCCAGCACTTGCATCTCATGATCTTGATGGCTTTACGACTAGTGAGAACATTTGTCCACCTATGCTTGTTATTGAAAAACCTGATAATTCTGAGGATATTGTAAAAAGACCAAACCCTAAGCATTTTAATTGGAAAAGAACTTATCAATGTTTGGTAAGCTGGTTATTCTCATCAATATATGAATCTATATTCAGACATGTAGCTAAATGTGTAAGTTCTTACAAAATTTGGAATACCTTGGAATTGCACTTCTAATCTTTTTCAAAGGCCAAAACTTTCCACTTAAGGAATCTGTTACAGACCACTAAGAAAGATTCTTTAAGCATCAATGAGTATGTCCTGAAAATGAAGGAGTTAGGATATGAGCTTGTAGCTAGTGGTGTTAGTCTTAGTTATGAGGAACTCTTACTATATATTATGGATGGTCTTGGATCAAAATATGATGTAGTATTAGCTAACTTGACTTACAATTGTAGCACAGCAAGTATTCAGGAAGCTCAATTCATGCTTCATAAGCATGAGATAAGATTGGAGTGACAGCAAAATAGTCTGACTAATTTTCATGAACATATGACTTCTGCTTTACTTGCTTCCAGACAAGAATCTAGTAGCTCACCTGCACCTAATTTTGTGATGAACACTTCATTTGAACTTAAGCCGTTGGTGCCAAACTACTCATCTCAAGCACCAGGTTATGGTTACCAACTTGGTACCAATACTGGTACTCCTGCAGAAGCACTTTCTTATCCCACAGGAGCACATGTTGGATTTTGGAAACAATGGTTTTTATGGACAAAACTTTAGTAGACCTTACTACTCACCTAATGCACAACAATTCTTTACTAGAGGTGCTCAATTTAATAATAACTTGGTGAAAGGAAGAGGTACGGGTAGAGGTTATTTCAAACCAAAGTTAGTTTGTCAAGTTGTGGAAAACCAAGACACTTTGCCATACAATGCTATCATCGATTTGATCAAGAGTATAAGGGATTTGTTGCTCCTAATTACAGCCATCAACCACAATCAAGTGGCTATACTCCATCAGCTCCTCCATCGAATTTGTTTACTGAAGGATCTAATACTCTAGATCAGGCTTTATTTGCTACAAGCTATACATCAAATGCACCAAATCATGTTAACTTTTCTGGTTACACATCAAATAATTCACAAGTGCCTAACACCTCTTTTGTTTATTTTCATGATCATTCAGTCTCTAAAGTTCCACAAATGTATCATAATCCCACAGCATCTTATCCATCTATGGTAAGTAATCAGCATCCTTTTGTGCCTATATACCATAACACCAACATTGATGCTTCTGGCAGTTTGCCACTAAGAAGTACCAAGGATACTCTCTTGAGTTCAACCTCACCATTGCAAGTTGTAGCTACTCCACAAACACTCCATGATCAGTCCTGTTACATTGATTTTGGGGCCTCAAATTGTATGATAACTTATAGATCCAACTTGGTGATCAAATCCACTTATCCTGAAAACTCTAAGGTGCAAGTAGGTAATGGAGAATCTCTTCCAAATTACTCATACAGGTATGCTATTGATTCCCTGTTTTGATGCTCATAGGTTTATTCATCTTAGAGATATCCTATGTATTCCCAAAATTGCAAAGAACTTGTTAAGCATCTCTCAAATTATTAGAGACAATAATGTTATTGTGGAATTTCATGTTGATCATTGCTTGGTAAAGGACAAAAGCAGTAAAGATGTACTGCTTCAAGGCATTGTTAAGGATGGATTGTATCAACTTGAACTCTCTCACATTGTCAACTCAACTCTAGATTTCACTAGCTCTTCTACTATTGCTTTTTTTGTTCTCATTAGACGCTTCTGCTGATTCTGTCTCAAGTGGTGTTAGTAATAAAGCTATTTTTGACTCAAGTGATATTACTCCTAGTTCTACTGGTGCTTGTAATTATACTAACAAGCTAAATAAAACTACAAGCTTAGACTTGCTCTTGCTATGGCATGCAAGATTAGGACACCCTAATGTTAGAACTCTTCATGCTGTTTTAGAGAAATTGAATGTAAAACAATCTTTGAAAAGCAATAAAAAAATCTTTTGTGAGGCATATTAGTATGGTAAACTACAATAATGCCATTTTCCTGCTTCCTCTTCCAAGGCTACATTACTTTTAGAGTTGATTCACTCTAATCTATGGGGTCCAACTCTTATCACCTCTAGGGAAGGTTATAAGTACTACATTATTTTTGTAGATGACTATAGTCGCTTCACATGGATTTACCCCTTGAAACTCAAGTTTGAGGCTTACACAGCTTTTGTCCAATTTCACTGTTGTATAGAAAAGCAGTTAAATCACAAAATAAAAGCATTGCAGACTGACTAGAGAGGAGAGTTTAGAGCCTTTATTGGCTATCTACAACATCATGGCATCTTGTTTAGACATTCTTGCCCATATCTTCACCAGCAGAATGGAAGGGTAGAGAGAAAACACAGGTCTATCACAAAGTTTGGCCTGTCCCTCTTGGCTCATGTTGGAATGCCATTAGCTTACTGGTGAGCAGCTTTTAGTAGAGCCACTTATCTCCTAAACAGACTGTCCACATTGGTTCTTGAATTTGTGTTTGCTTATGCTGTTTTTTTTAATAAAGAGCCTAACTATGATGATCTCAAAGTGTTTGGATGTAACTGCTACCTTTATCTCAAGCCCTACAACAAGCACAAACTTGCCTTCCACATAGAAAAATGTACCTTTCTTGGTTATAGTCTCACTCACAAAGGATATTTTTGTTTTAGCTCAACTGGTTGAGTTTACATTGCAAAGCAAGTGAAGTTCAATGAATTGGATTTTCCTTTCAAAATTGGTTTTACATCTGCAGACTTGAATGTGTCAAAAAATTTGTCTGTGACTTCACCATCTCCATCCTAGAGTCTTCCATGGGAATTAGTAGTTGATTCCTCTAATACAAGGTACTCTAATTCAGTTGGTTCACATGAGGTGTCAGAAGGTTCTCCTATTACTACTACTCATTAATTCCAACCAACTGACTCACAGGACCTATTAGTTGTCTTTTCTGATAAAAGAATCTCTAATTTAGTTGATTCACATGAGTTGTTAGCAGGATCTTCCAGTTCTGTTCTCTTTAGGAACACTAATTCTCTCAATGATAGGCATACTGATTCTTTGAATGATTCAACTAACACTATCTCTCTAGTAGATCCTTGTACGTTTATAGGTCCAATAGTTGGTTCATCTACGCATAATGTGTCCATTATAGCTACCTCAAACTCTCCAGTAGCTCTTTCTACTTCTATAAGTCCAGTAGTTGAATCATCTGGCATAATATGTCCACTATAG